ATTGAATTGAAAAAGAGGTTGAATATGCAGAGAGAAGGGGAAGAACAGCCAGAAGTGCAACAGCTGCCTTGTCTGATGAATATGACCAGTGAGAGCGTTCAGTTACTTTTCTGGGGATCCACACTGCAGTTTCTCGGTGTTCATAAAAAGAAGGTATATCCCCACCACGCTAAGGAAAGTTTTGTTTGTGCTTCAGTGGCTCCAGAGTACTTAAGGTTTCTGTGTCTGTGAAGCCACTGTAACACGGTTTTGTCACAGGAGTTTCATAATTAGATGAGTGCCAGAACGGAGTGTAAAGGCCCTCCTTGCGTGCCTGTTTCACATTTGCCACTTCAGTGCCTTTGGCCAGTGCCTGGGACTCAGGTCTGTGTGAACAAGAGCCAAATAATCATTAAAGTATATACTCTTCTCTAGTATGCAGTCTCTTAAGGTCGCACAGGAATAACTAAGGTGAATCAAGGTGAACCTCTAACAACTCTGAGTAGTATTGGCCTTTGAGGCTACTACTGTAAAGGCTGTAAGATGTGTTTCCATGTGTACTGTGCTGGAAAACAGGAAATCCACATTTTATTTTGGTTGGGATGTTTTTGGTTTGGGCTTTTGGTTCTTTGTTTTTGTAAAACAGTCATGGCTATTGATCTTTAAAGGGCTTTTTGTGAAATGGGAATTCACTTTTCAGTTAAAAAGTTTTGTCAGATTTATAGCTGCATATGTTCAATCAAAGTGCTTGAAAGTGCTACCTAATTTATATTGGTTTTGTCATATTTTGAATCATGGTGCTTTTTCCTGAGCTCACTAATGAAAAGTGTGTGCAAAAAGCCCAATCTTGCCTCTTCCCACCCAGTAAAAAGGCATAAGAAGGTATCTGAGCTCTAATCCTATAATCATACTGTTTTTCTCTAGGGCAAACAATTTATGGTTTATTTTCTTGGCTTGAGCTTTCTCTTCATCATTTACACCAAGTGTAAATCATATTATGTTTGCTTAGTGGACAGATGAAGGTTTCCTGTCTCCTAGTTGCTTGCTGAGGATCTTCTGTGATCCTGTCAGTGCGTGTGACGTAAGTGGATGTAAAGATCTCATTTATCACTTCCAAAATGCCCATCCTAAACATTAATTTTGCCGTTTCACTTTTGAAGTGGTTTGAAGTTTGACATCCAACTGATCTGATTTTGGATGGTCTAGCTGTAACATGTTAGAAGAAAATGGGCTAACACTAAATCTGGTGTTAAATTTACATTTACTTGAGCACTCAAGATTGTACCAGGTCTTGGTGTATGTGACTTTTTTTAGTTGATAGAACTGCTCTGTAATTTTTTTTTTCCATGTACATATAATCCTGTCAAAAATCTGACATCACATTAACACTGATAGGTGAAAGATACATATATTGAGATTGTCTTACACATCCTATAGAATGTATCCAGTGTTTTGTAGACAGTTGACTACTGATCAATCATGGATGAGTATGATATTGTTCACTCCATTTACTCTGGTGGAAGGGAGTCCTAGGTAGTTTCAATTGCAGAATATTAAGGATGAGATTTTGTTTCATTTGCCAAGCTCTTTCTTTTTTGAAATCTAATTCATGTGTTGTTTATATGAAAATCTACAGTCATCTTTTTGTCAGTGTAGTGCAAATGTATTACTACTTATTAGATATAAATTATAATGAAATGTCACACCAAATATGCAACACAGAATATTAAGATCAAGGAAGTAGTTATAACTTAAATCATACTGCTGCAAAATGATATTGTATGATTTTGGAACAGTAAACTGTTTTACAGCTACATGCTCCATGTGCAGAGACAACTGGATGCACTGTTAATGCTGTGTCTAGATTCACTGACGTGGACAAGTACTACTGTTAGGAGTACAGGATACTACTGAAGTTCCTCTGAGTTGCCTGCCACAAATATATTGCTGCATTTGAGTTATGTTATCAATTCTGTTTTAAGTCACTGTAGTGGTGCATTTAAATGCCACTATGGTAATAGCTACTGTTATACTAAATACCTGCAGCATATAAAATATATAAACCCTTTTGTTTGTCTGTATCCTGTACATCAGTACTGAGCTTCTGCAGTGAAGAATTCATCATCTCGTGTTGAAAAAGTGCCTCCATGTTCCTCAAGCTTAGGGAATTAAATAGCACATCAACAACACCTACTCTGTGTGCCATATTCAGTCTAAAAGAAAAGTGTTTTAGAACTGATAGCAGCAAGAACCATTTTCCCAGTATAACTTCTCTGAGGTATGCAGCTAACAGCACGTTGCAAAATTTGTACATTTCCAGGTTACGCTGAAGCAATATTCTGAGTCTAGGAATGTAGCAGATTGCAAGTCAAGGGAGAGGGGAGTTTTGTTGTTTTGCCATTTTTTTGTTTGTTTTTACATGTAAAAAATGCCTTCTTAACTTGAGGGTGACAAAGCAAAATATTGTCAGTTTTGTAAAGTGAATGTGCTTGTAGGTCACTTGCACCACCTTGTGATAAAAATGATGTATAGCAGTCTTTGTAATCAGATGCTTTTTGCCATTTAATGGTCGTAATATATACATATGTACAGCAGAGAAAACCTGTAATCAGAATTTTTTTACTTTCCTATATATTTCAGCTCTGATTAAGTTAACTGATTTATAGTGCCTATGCATTAAAAATATAATTTCAGTATAATGTTCTTCTGTTACGCTTTTTGTGTTCAGCATACTCTGTGTGATGATAAATGCTCCTTTTGCAGTTCCTATGATGAGTGTTCTGTGAAAGCTCAGATTTATAACCAGTATTATCAGATGAAAGGAAAAATGCGTTTTCACTCAGTTATGAAAGTGCAGTATATATTTCGTAATGCTTCATGTACAGGCTTTTAGCAAGAAGATATTCTGAAACTGGAGTTTCATGCTCTTTGCCACATTCAAGTTCTCCCATGCCTGCTATTTCACACAATTATAATTGAGTTTTCCGAAACTTTTTTCAGAACAGCATCTACATTTTAAAGTAGAGATGGAGATCAGCAAGGAAGTGCATTGCATTTTAAGGCATGGAGATTTGCTTATTTTTAGTTTTCAGATCCATTATTCTGCTCCACCCTTCAGTTTCTTGACATTCAAGTGTAGTCAAGTCTGAGATGCTTTTGGGAAGCTTGAAAGATGCTGGAGACAGCATCACAGCAGAGGGCGATGCCATACAGGACCTCAGTGGGCTTAATACTGGAAGTTGTATCTTCCAAGTGCTCTAGAGTAATTCACTCTGCTTCTCCACCAGTTAAGAATCCACAGAGTAGAATTAGTTCCTGAAAGGATTTTTAATACACCTTACGTCTTGACCTTTCTTGTGTTGTTCCTTCTGGTGAAAATCCCATAAATGGCTGCACCTTGGATTCCCAGAGCCTTCCTGCCCCTGGAGCAGTTCTGGGAAGGGGAAAATTCTCCAATGACAGAGAACCAGGATGTCAGAGAAAAACGAATGGATGTTACTTCTGTGTGCCCGTGGTCTTCTGCAGACACTGACACTTCTCTTTCCTTTTGGGTCCAAGCAACTTGAGAGCTGTGCATAAGTTGGTAGTTTAGATATTTCCTTCTTCCTGCAATCCTGAGCTGTTAGCCACGATGAGACGCTATGCTGCTGCAGTGTAATGCTTGCTGCTGCAGTCTCAGCCCTTACTTTATAATCTATATCAGTGTGTGATTGATGAACTTAAATATGTCAAAAGTGAAAAGGTTTGAAGTTACCTGGTAGCATTTGTGTAGGCAGAGGGGGATTTTATCTTTGTAATGAGAGCACGCTTTACACATTAATATAAAAATGTTTAAATATGGGGATTTGTAGTTTTTCCACCTTCTATGATGTTTTGACAACTGTCAAAGATGAGAAGCATATATTGTAACAAATTCATAGATTATTATTATTCACAGAAGGCCTCATTTGTGAAGCACTTCTGCAGTGTTTCTAATTTTGAGATTATGTTGAGATGCTCCTGGATGTGCAACAAATAAGTAATTCTTTATGATGCATCTTGTCATTTTCTACCTCTGTTGTGACGTCCCATTTTCTTACATATCAAATAACAAGTAACATACAGATAAAGATGGTTCTTCCCATGTAGCAGCTGAACTTTCCTTTTGAAAGAGATTTGGGGTTTGGTTATGTCAGAAGATACGCAGAATACGTAACATATGGAATTCAGTCATCTAGCTTTTACTGGGGCAAAGCTCATACAGATTCTGGCTGGGGTGCCAGCTTTGCCTGTGATTAGCTGAAAGGCTTTTAGGGAACAGGCCTACAGAATGCATAGCCTGCAGGATTGTAGATACCCTGCAAAGTGTATGTTGGATTTTGGCATGGTGGGTGGTCAGTGGAGGAGCTGAGAGAGAGAGAGAGGAGATGCAGACCCAGACCCATGGAGGAGAAAAAATTGATAATCAAGCTTAAAACACAGCTTCAGCCTTCTGTTTAATATTGCATCCCTTTCTTGGGGATGCAGAAGGTTGGCAGTGTGCTCATGACAAGAGAGCTCCTTGTTAGGAAGCTGTAGTCCTCAGATGTGGTGCAGGCAAAGGGTTTGCTTTAGTTCAGAGATATGGTGTAGCTCAGCCCTGGTAAGGCACAGAGCTTACTTTGCACCATCAGTCAAGGTCTACGATGGAGGAGAACAACTGGAGCATTGGTTGAAACTGCACCACAGAGTCAGAAAGTGTAAATCCTGCTTTTTGTAAAATGCCCTGTATTTCTGAAGTGGCTAGTTTAGCTACCAGGATTCTTCAGAAAGTTAGCAAGTAGCAGCTGC